GGCTACGTGGACCAGTATCGGCTCAGCGGCATGGAGCAGGAGGCCAGCAAGGGAGCTCTCCATGACCATGGGCCTACCTTATTTAGGAGGAACTTTTGAACGTCCTGACAAAGCAAAGGTGGGGATCCTGCGGCAGTGGGCCCAGGGTTGCGCTGGAGTAAATGGAGAAACATGTATACCTCACTCGCCCAAAGCGAACGAACCTTTCAGCCATTTGGTTTGGATCTTTGGACTAACTTTTTGGAAAATGATGGACTATAGGCAGGGGACTTCCGTCACCAGAAATAGGTCTGGCAGACGACCTTTTGATTCTTGGCTCACTTCCTGAGTTCATGGACTTCAAACACCTTTTTGGGAAGACCATTTCAGTAGCAAGAAAGAAGCTTCTTTTCCTGGCCAATCCATTCCGGAGGTGAGTTTATCGTGCAGCCGTTCTTGGCCTTCCAAGGAGACCGGATTGAAAAACTCACTCGACCAGCCGGCCCATGCTCTCGCTGGTTCTAAGCAGGGAATGAAATGGAATCACCCCCTATCAACCATCCCTTGTGGTTCCTTTAAGGGGACCCCTACGTTCATTCCCAAAACCCTAGATCATTCCTTGCTGAGAGCCAGCAAGAACTCCAGGCGATTGGACTCCCTTAGACGAATCTCCTGACTGACCTCCGCACAGACGGCGAGAACGCACGTTTCTTTGCTTCTAGCGCATGTCGCGCTCAGCAGTGTGATTTTCTCTACAGTGGAGCTCACACCAGACGACGGAGTCGCGTAGCGGATGACAGGCTGCGCAATCATGGTTTACTGCTTGACAATCAAGGACATTCGGCCGAGAATCCCGCTGTCATTTATTGTGAGCAATCCCGAGCCTTAAGTGACGCAGCAGCTGACGAGGGTTGGTTGAAAGCAGATGGAACCCACGGGTTTCATGTTGCTTGGACGATTGCAGGGTCGTTCTTTTGGTTGTGTAGCCTGGGTCCCGGACCCCTCCAACACAAACGGGGGTCAATAGGGTGCCACTGCAAAATGGGACGTCAAAAGCAATGGGACGTCTCTGGGTTCGGTGAAAATGTCCAATTCCATTTGCCTATGGTCCATTTGGGAAAACCAACAAAAAGACGAGCTCTAAATTTAAGCACAAGGATCAGGGGACGAGCCCTAATGCTATCCTGTCCTCTTGGAGTGACAGCACCAATTTGATCGTGGATCCTATGGACAATTCGCACATCATGACGGCTTTAAGTGATGAGACAGAGACATGTTTTGTCCAGACCTCACCTCACACTTTGTGAAACTTTCCCTGAATTTTCGCAGAATCATCAACACGTGTCCCCCTCTATTTGTCTTCCATCCATCCGGGGTTGCCCGGTTTTCGGAAAACCGTTTGCGCCTCCCGGTCGGTTTCGAGCTTGGAAGCGAGGCGGCGACGTATTCGAAAGAGGCGGAGGACTTGGCGAAGCATGCGGAGGACGAAAACCCGAAGCGAAGTGACACCGGTGTGGGTTTGGCTCGTGTTTTTGAGGCTGGGTACCCGTAGCTGTTGGTTTAAAGCTTTCGACCATTGGCAATCAACATCACCCAAAGCAGACTCACAATCCGCTGCAACTGGTTTCAAACGACTTGTTAAGCGATAATGTTAGTTTGTGATTTTAAGGGTACCATTTCTAGGTTGGTTTAAAGCTGCCCAAAGGGACAACCGAAATCCATTTCGGGGGACAAGCTCTAAATTTCTTCACAAAACCATGAGACGAGCCCAAATTTGCCCAGATCCTCTTGGTGAAAAACAATCCGTGGATCCTGCTGTAGTAGTACAAATTATGAGCTCACCGATCAGGGCAACACGACCGTAACATTCAAGAAGATCCCCAACTTGGTCGACAGAGGTTTGCAGAGTCCGCGCCGCAAGCGCAGCGGAGGCAACTTTCGAGCAGCTAACTTTTGAGCCGCCCCCTCTTGCAGATGATGTCGGTGCTGGGGATGCCAGTGAGGAAGGCTGTTGAGGTGGTGCAGACTGGTGATGCAGGGGATGCGGGCTGTGCTGGAAACACGCCGACGAGAAAACAAAAAACGCAAAACAGAACTCTTGGCACACTGCGTGGCTATCTTTTGAAACAGGCTACATGAGGATGTGTGTTTTCCTTTTTTCCCAGTGTTTGTTGTTGTTTTTTGTGACTGGATTCTTCCTTATTTTCAAGTTCAGCAACTGTTAGAACTTGACTGTTAGAGCGTTGATAAAGATATTTTAGCGGAATTTCACAAGGAGAGAACTCAGAGGTACACCCATACTGCCACTGATCAGGGCAGTCGCTCTCCGTTGCTGAGCGGCGCCCAGGACGCAACCCGCGTGGCGGAGAAGTATGCCCGCATCGCCGGGCGCATCACTGAGGCAATCCCCACGCCCCTTGGCGACAAGTCTTGACTGCTATTGGGTTGGATCTTTAGACTTTAATTTTTTGGAAAATTAGGGGTTTCCCCTAAACCCCAAAAAAGTTAAACCTTTTGCAGGGGGGTCAACAGCAACCAAAAAATCCCTTGGCAACAGATCCGATTAGATGGTTCGGGGTGAATTATAACGACCAAATTCACCCCACATGGTGAGTTTATGTGGGAAATAGCCCCCACACCGCCTTATTTCAGGCTGGTGAAATATTATAATTCACCCGGATGGTCCTACCCTGGTTTGTTTAGGGACCATAGTGGCAGGTGAGCCGAAATCAGATCCGGCGAACACGGGCATGTGCTTGTTTGAGGCTATGATTGGGGTTGGTTTGAAGGGAAACCAAAGAGGACAACACCAGTAGTTGGGTTCCCCTATTTTGACACGCACCCATATATGAGCAACAAACAAAACCTGGGTAGATGAATGGCAGGGACAATTCCGGCCAGAAACAAGTGCGGATATCCGTGTTTGTGATTCTTTACAAGGTTTTGGTAGACTCCTTTAGTACCAGGTTTTGACTATGGCTCACATGACATCGCCCTGTCCATTCACACCCCTTTTTGTTTGAGGCGGGTTTTCTTTGCGTGGTATGAACCTCCGTATTCATCCAAGTTAACAATAGCATGGACTCCTACTTCTTCACATGGTTCTGGGGAGACTGTTTTAACTATGACTCAGCTGAGGATCAAGAAGATGGAGGACATGGCGGCGGCCCACGCGCGCTGGGCCGAGCAGCCCTTCCCAGAGACGCAGCCCCAGGAGGCGAAGAGCGCGCTTCGCACGCGTCTGCGCGGAAGGAACGGCGAAGGGGCTGTGGCTGGTTAAAGGCAGCTTGGACCCCGAAACGTGGATGTGGTCGTTGTTGTTTTTTTCAATGGGATTCCTTTTTTTTGCTGGAAACCAAGATGAAAGTCACCATTATTGCGGTCCCCTAAAGAACGACACACCCGTACACTTGGGGTTTCTTGGTTTTCCAGACCGACCAGCGCTGCTTGCAAGAGTTCTTTGACACACTGGTTCTTTTCCCTCTGGGTGAAAAGAGATAGCTACCCGGCCTCAAACAACGAACCCATGGTAGTAGCTGACCAACTTCTACGGTTCGCTTGGGGGCATGGGACCGAACCTGACCGCAGGATCTGTCATGCACTCAGGAAGACAGTTTTCCGTTAAAAGGCCCCCCTGGTGGGTTCCATGATAGTGGGGGGCTTTTGTTTCTTTCCTCCTCTCTGGTTTGATGCTTGTCTCACCGCGATGCCATTCGGAGAAACTGGTGCTCAGCAGGGAATGAGAGAATGACCCTTATAGACCATCCCTTGTGGTTTCCTTTAAGGGGACCCCTGAATTAATTCCCACATTCCCTACTGTGCACCAGCAAGGAATAGAAGCATGTCGAGTGGTTACTGAAAGGCAGCCTATAGAGTCTGCCACGCACTGCTTACAGCACCCAGGTGTATCCTGCCCCCTTCAAAGACCCAATTCGCCAAGACTTGAGTCCTTGGAGCACAGAAATGCCCAAACCGACCCAGCTTGAAGTGGCACCGTTTGTGACTCAACTGGGCTTAATGTAGTTGTCAGGAGTGGCGAATTTCCTTTTTCAACTTGTTTGGAGGGGACGCCCCTTGAAGTCAAACAAGAAGGGTTGGAGATCCGGGAAATGTTCAGACCCATTTCCTTGCTGGACTTTGGCCATGATTTCGACGGTCGTTCCAAAGGTGTCGCCCAACAGCAGACTCTTTTCCTCGCAGTGCCCCCTCCGCTTTTGCTGACAAAGCATGGACTGGGAAAGGAATGAGCAAGGTTTGGCAGCAATGAGGGCGGAAACAGCCAAGGGACGACTTACCAGCAACCCCCACTTGGCCATGGTGTCCCAATAGGGGGGGGGGCGGGCGGGTCCTCTAAACCGGTGGCTTCTTGGGTGTCCATGTGAGTTTTTGGAAGAACCGTCCCTTCGCTTTGGGGATGATAACTAAATTTGGATCCAGAAAGTCGGATGCTGACAAAACCTTTGCTCAATATAAGGCTTTGAGCTGATTTGCCATGGTCACAACCTGAGTTTGAACATCCGCCCATTGCTAGGTCCCCCAGTAGTGCCCTTTGACTAACTTTTTTGGGGGAGGGTTCCCCTACTAAAATGGACTACAGAAAAAGGGTACCCTTATTCGAACCTCTCTACTGGAGGACCTAGATTGGCACTGGGCCCAAATATTTCGCAGGGTTGCTCCGAGCCTCCAAAAGAGGGTCAGAACACAGTAGAAGCAATCAGAAGACATGGGAAAATGGGGCCAACTGAGTAGGGCCCAACATTGATGTTAGATCTACCAATCTGCGTATAAGAGTTTATGTAGGCCTTAGTGCAATCCTTGTGACGCTAGTAGGTGGTAGAACCACCTACTTAGCTGGTGGAACCACTTGCTAAAACGGGATACTGGGGGTTTTAGACGCTCCATTGCTCTACCCGGGTCTTTGGAGAAGTGTGCAGTGCCGGCCAGTTGGTGACTCTCACGGTCGCCCCGCCGCTCGCACTCTGAGACTCGCCGGCCGGAGCCCGCCCGTGCAAAAGTGCGTACAAGCGAAATAATTGGGAAGCAACTATAGAACATTCTAACGCACTGAGAAGCAACACATGAATATGCATCTATGAACATAATTGGCTTCACTCAACCTGCGGTCACTTCCCTGGCTTCTGAGTTGCTGGACTTCAACCTTTTTGTTCTCCAAAGATGATGCATGTTAGTGGTAAGCAACAAGTTTTGACCCTTTTTTCTACCCAATCCGCTCAATTGCGTTCGTGAATGGGAGGTGTTAGGAGCTGTGTCAAGGCATTCTCCTATCTTCTTTAGTAAGCACCATCCACAGTGCAACCAAACCACAAGGATCCGGGCCACTCAGTTTCACGTTCCAAAGACGAACTCGGGCGAGCAAAAGACGGGCGCTACGTGTGCTACGTGTGTGCGTAAGGCTCGAAGGTTGGCGTCCTTTTCAGGGCTCCGGAGTATTCAAACATGACCGACACACAAGGGTTTCGGTTTCCTTTTGTTTCCTTGGTTCCCTTTTTGCCTTGGTTTGTTTTGGTTTCCTTTGGTTTCCTTTGGTTTGCTTTGATTTGCTTTGGTTCCCCGTTGCCAGAAACCAATTGTCCATTCCGCCTGCCATCTTTTGCAGCAACCCTTGTCAGTTGCATGCATGGATTCGGCTGGTGTTGGTGTCCGAAAGGACTTCTAGTTGGCTCGAGGGCTTTTGCAGGGGTTCTACCTGGTTGACTGGGAGTTATACAGCTTGGCGGCTCGCAGCCATCCGATTTTTTTTGCTTTCTAGGTTTTTTAGTCGGAGTCAAACATTTCCATATAACCTACTAAAAGTTAAACTTTTAGCAGATCCCGACAGACGGGACATAGGTTTCAAGGGGAATCAAAAGGCAAGAAACCACTTGAGGGATCCTCTATTGTGAGACACAGCCACAACAACCTTTCCTAAAAACGCAGATTAACATAGAACAAAAAGATCATTCGAAAGGAGATTCCGTTACACCACATGTTGTTTCTTGGGGTTCCCTGTGAATCAGAGTACAACAATGGTGATGTGGCTTCTGTATCAAGATGCCCGAAGCCCCCTCTGGTCATCTCCCCTCGTGGGAAACCAAAAGCAAGCCGGCATGAAAGGTGATCATGCTGCCCTGGCCCAAATCTCGGCTTTTGGACCGAAGAGCCACCAGCTGTTCAACAGACTGCATCAGACTCCCCACCGGTTCAAAGGCTTCCCAGCGTGTCTAAGATCCGAGACCTTTCTCACCCCAAGCGGTTGGCTCTACAAGTGCCACGTTCTTTGAGTGCGATGAACTTTCTGCCAGGTGTGTGAAATGAGACCTGTCCGGAGGGACGAAGGTTGGGTGAGTTTCCTCAACGTGTGTGTATCTTTTTCGGATTTTTGGTGTCCAAGCTCTTATTTTGACGAATACCCATCCATCCGTGATTTTTCTGAGGTGCCTCAGGATACCTTCCATGTATCAAAAAGAGTGTAAAAAACCTGCAGATCAACACGGAACCCAAACATTGCATTCCAACCTCCCGCAACTAGAAGGAACATACCCAGCAGAACATGGACCCCCCGCAAAAGAAACAAAAACATGGTGGTCTTGCTCCAGAACACGCAACCCACAAGAACAATGTTTGTTTTGGAAGCCGCCAGGTCCCACCCCCCTGAAGCTTTTTCCGGGTTGCGTGCCAAGCCTGGGTTTTTTGGGGGGATTTTCCTTGGCAGGAGCCGCACACCCGGCCGCCGGAGCGCGGGGATGTGCGTGAGAGGGCCTCGCCAGCCCGGGCTTCAGTCCGGCCAGGCGGAGCTTGACGATTGTGGTTTAAGGTCTCGGGTTTGTTGCTTATGTCTTATGTCTTTATGTGTTTGAAGTTGCGTGTTGGTTGTTGCCATGTCGTTTGCTCATCATGTTTTTGATTGTTGATGTGGTGTGTCTGTGTTTGATCTGATTGGCTGAAACTCATGGCTTTGTTGGTTGCTTTTATTTGATGTTTGATTGGCTTTGTTTTTGGCCCAGTGCTTGGCGTTTCGCCCCAGGATCAAGCATCAGAATGGTGGCAGGTCCAGGATGGGAGTCTCCTCATGGCTATGCCTCCCAAGATCTGCAAGCATTCACTCAGGGCTCAGAGTATTTTCCGCTCGGCAATCCCTTTTTGGTTGGCAACATTAAACTGCCATTTGCTTCAGAGTATTGTTAATTTTCCCCTGTTGGTTTTAAAGGGAGTCTATCACTACCGGACACGTCTTTTTTCTCCCCCCCCCCCGGGGACTTACTTTTCCCACGTCATATATATATATATTATATATATATATATCTAAACATATCGACTTAGGATTTGCTGGTGCAGCGGATCCGGAGCGCCTTCGAGGACAAGGATTGGGCCGTGCTCACGGCCGGACAGCCCAGTGATGCGAGAGCCATTTGGTTTGATCGGTTTGTTTGTTTGTTTGTTTGGTTGGTTGGTTGGTTGGTTGTTGTGTTTTGTTGTTTTGTTTGTTTGTCTCTTGCGTTGCTTGTTCAATTGTTTGTTTGTTTGGTTGGTTGGGTGGTTGTTGGTTTGTGCTTGTTTGTTGCTTTGGTTGATTGGTTAAAAGGAACAGGGAAAACTTTAGATGTAGCAATCAAAGGAAACGGCTACATACAATTTCTTACTACCCGAGGAATCCGATATACATTAGATGATCAATTTCAGATAGATGCAGATGGAAATTTGACTAATAAAATGGGTCATATAATATTAGATGACGAAGCAAGCTAAATCACTCTATATGAGGCAACATACATAGTTATTAACTACCAAAACAGAAGACATGTTTGCTAACAATGCTACTGCTTTTGTTGTTTGTATGTTTGTTTGTTTGCTTGCTTGCTTGTTTGTTTGCCTGGCTGTGTGGTTGTTTGCAACAGTTTGTTTGTTTGCGTGGTTGGTTGGTTGGTTGGTTGGTTGTGTGTGATTGTTTGTTTGTTTGTTTGTTTGTTTGTTTGTTTGTGTGTGGGTTGTTTGTTTGTTTGTTTGTTTGTTTGTTTGTTTGTTTGTTTGTTTGTTTGTTTTTTTTTTGTTTGCTTCTTTCTTTGTTTGTTTGTTTGTTTGTTTGTTTGTTTGTTTCTGTTGGTGTGTGGTTGATTGATGGTTTGGCTTTTTCGTTGTTTGTTTGGTCGGTTGTTTGGTTGTTTGCTTGCTTGTTTGTTGTTTGCTTTGCTTGCTTGCTTGTTGTTTGTTTTGCTTGTGTGCCGATGTGGGTGTGGGTGTGTGGGTGTGTTTCCAAGCTGCAATTTGTTTGAAGGATTTGGAACAGCAACCCGATGTTTTCTGGTACTTTGTCCCGTTGCCTACTGTCTGCATTCCAATTTGGATTGTCCTTCCTCATTGGATTCTTTTGGGTCATGCCCAATGGTTCCATCTGTGTAGGCATCCAAGGGAGCCACTTAAGATCAAAAAGGAACATGGTCGGTTACTTATCTGGATTCCAGTTTGTGACCCCAAGGTAGACTTATTCAAAGGATCCCCAGCGGTTTTGAGTTAACCTTGGGTCAAACAATGGCTTGCCTGGGATCCGCTCTAAGAGCAAATTTCAGAGGAGCCTCAACAGGCCCCTTGTGCGGTCCAGCCACTTGGTACCGTTTTGTTGAAGAAGTTGATAGTGGTGTTTGGCTCCCCCCATTTCGAGTATTTCAGGGCCCCAGCTAAAATGCCCTAAACTTTTCAAACGCCCTGTAAAACACATGGATTCCTGCAGAAGCCAGCAGCGAGGCCGTCAGTTTGGGGGTCGGTCCACTTTGGGTATGTGTCAAAATTCTGGGACTTGGACCCCCCCAAGACGGATTTTGGAGGTTTCCCCTTTGAACCAAACCAAAGAAACAGGTTGCGTGCCACGGTTGCCCAGATCCCTGAGGCGGCGGCCGGCATACCGAGATCCCAAGACATCACCGCCGCAGCCTGCGGGCCCAAAATGTACGAGACGTCCTGGGTGAAGTGGGGCGTGGGCTCCAAATTTGACCAACTCGGTTCATTGCAGAAGCCCAGAAGTTTTGCTTGGGAGGGGTGGGGCCCAAATTGAAAGTGTTTAACATACCCCCAAATACGTTTCATTGGCAAAAAAGTACGGGACTCCAAGAATAATAATTTCGGGAAACCGTGTTACCGATTTTGGGTCAATGGGTGCTTCAGAAACAACTACATATATATATATATATATATGTGTGTGTCTGTGTGTTTTAAGTCTCGGTGTCCTTTTTCGGTTGATTCCATGGAACGCGAGCGGAACAAATCACAACTTTGGTGGGTCTTCCTACTTTGATACATACCCAAGGCCTCCTCAAAATTTGGTGTGCCCCTTTGAATGTGTGGAGGGACCAAAGGGGTCCATCCCAATTGCGCAATGCACCTGGCAGTCACAATGCTGGTTTTGTCCAAACTGCCACAGCAACGGGCTCAGAGCAGGTTCCCAGATAATTTTCCAGGTTGGTTTCCGGGAGGTTCCGGAGATATTCCCAATGGGCATACGGATGGCTCGTCTTTTTTTTAGTTGTTACCCCTTCTGGATTGGTTTCAAAGGAAAACCAAAAGGACACCATACGTTGCTGCTCTTTGCAAAATTTACCTTGCTGATTTCAATAGAACTGCCGGATATGTTTTTCTCTGTCTTCCCAGAAGACGGTGAAGCATACCACGGGTCGGTCCGGTCCATGCTTTTGTTGTTGCCAGTTCATCTTTAGAGCGCCCGGCAAAACACACAGCTTTGTGCTAACGTACCAGTGGTTGCAATGATGCTGGCTCCCCTTAACCGTCCCCTAAAGGGTCCCTAGCCGTGAGAAGTAAAGGGCCTTCCGCTACCGCTGTCTTTTTGGGTCTCCATGGTTCTTCTGGTGGTTTTAGTTGCCAAAGTAGGCCGTAGGTCTGCGAAACCACGCGAATGACAAGGCAGTTGGCTGCCCGTCAGATGGGCGTTTCTTCAATGTCGGGTTTCGTTGATGACGTTTCTGCTTTGTGTCGGC